TCAGTCTTGTAAGCATACATTAATTTTGAGTGTTCTTTTTCTGGGTCAGTTTCTGGGTGGTGTTGTCATGTGTTTTAATCTTAGGTCGTTTTCTGTTGTTGGTTTTCTGTTCAAATGACTGCGTTTAGCATTTTTTGTAAGTTTGGTCTGGTTTTTACACATTCCCATAATTTCTGTCTGTCTAGAAATGTCCTAATTTCACCATGATATGTGAGGGAGAGCTTTGCTGTATATATAATACTTACTCACTGCTATCGAGTCAGATCTGCCTCATAGCGACCCCTCCTTGGATTTCTGAGGTGATATCACTACAGAAGTAGATTGCCCAATCTTTCTTCCGAAGAGTGGCTGGTGGGTCCGAACTACCGGCTTTCTTGTTAGCAGTCAAATGCCTTAGGCACTATGCCACCAGAGCTTCCATATACAATACTTAGTTGCCATTTCTTTTTCTTTCAAGGTTTTATATATTTTATCCTGTTGCCTTCTTGCCTGCATAGTTTCTGCTGAGAATTCAGAACTTAGTCTTATTCGTTCTTCTTTATAGATAACATTTTGTTTTTCCTGAGATGCTTTCAAGCTTCTGTCTTTGTCTTTGGTTTTTGATATTTAATTATGATATATCTTGGTGACTTTCTTTTGGGGTCTATCCTGAATGGGGTGCATTGAGCTTCTTGGATGGATATCTTTTTTTTTTTTTTTTCATGATAGTAGGGAAGTTTTTTGCTAGCAAGTCTTCAACAACTTTCTCTGTGCTTCTTGTTATTTCTTTCTTTTTGCCTCCTCCTCAATCACATGTAGATTATCCTTCTTGGTATTGTCTCACATAATTCTTAAGCTTTCTTGATTTTCTTTCATCCTTTTTTTTTTTTTTTTCCTTATTTTTCCTCATAGAAACTGCTGTCAAGGAATTTGCCTTCTAGTTGGCTGACCCATTCTTCAATTGATTCAGTTTTACTTTTTTTATCCTTCTAATGTGTTATCTACCTCCATAATTTCAGTGTTAATCTTCTGGATTTCTAATCACTGTTCTGTATGATTTCTATTTATTTTGTCATTTTGCTGTTGTATTGTTTTCCTAAATTCTGCTATGGTATTGTCTGTATTCTATTTGATTTTGTTTGTGATTCCTTGTGCTGTTGGAAGTTCCTATATGTATATCTTTTGCATTCTTTATCAGGTAGTTCTATTACCTGTTCTTCCTCAGGAAGTTTTGCTAAACTTTTCTTTATTTTGGTCACTTGCTTATCTATCTTGTCCTGTTTTTTTGTTTGATTTGAAGTTGTCTGCTGTCTCTGAGACATTTTGGAGTTTTTGCTTTTATTTGTTGCTTATGCATTCGTTGGCTTCACTCTGATTTTCTTGTTTTGCTTTGTTTTGATATATCTAGGCAAGTGGGACTGGTGCTTCTTTGGTTGCTAGTTTGGCAGCACTGGGGTTCTCCCTACCTGTCTCTGAGTGTATGGAATAACTGTTGGGAATATGAGCTTGGGTCTCTACTTGTTGGTCATGAAGAGAAGCTGCAGGTGGGAGGAGCAGGCATTGTCCACCATCTGTCATTGATTCAGTGGTGCAGGAGCAGGTGATGATGCTCACCTGTTGGGTGAGGTGGTAGGTGTAGTAAGTATGGCTGACTAGTGGGGAATTAATGTCTGCCTTCTATTGGATCAATCAGGATAAAAGAAAAAATTAAGTTGAAAAAAAGGTGCTATGGGGATGAGATGAAAGATAGGTAAAAATAAAAGAAGAAGAGGAGGGGAAAATCAACAAATAAAAAGGAAGAAAAAGTGGAAAAAAGGAAAAGACAGAAAATGGTTTAGCTGTGGTCAGCCACAGTTGGTGATTGTGATGTAATCCATGGGAATGCATGCCTGCAGAGGGGGCAAGAGTCTGACATGTGTATACACCTCCAGTTGAGGAGGCTATGAAGATATGTGTGTTGCATTCTGTGAGAGCAAGACCTATCAATGACACAGGCATGGGCAAGCAGAGCTACAGACACTGGTTCTATCTGCTTGAGGTATGGTGTGCCAAATGGCTGTTGGTGGGATGAGGCAGCCCAAGGAACTGAGTGGGTATGGGGATGTCCCTAGTCACTTGGTTGGTGGGGGCAGGAAGATGGCTCACCACTGGTCATCGAAAGTGTAGTGGGGAAAAGGAGAAACCACCTTTCCAGTTGCAATTCACTGGCCTGGGCCCAGTGCACTTCTGGGCATATGCAGCTGATTATCCTGTTCCTGCCTGGAGTCAGTCAAGTGGTGGGCCACCAGGAGTCCGGCATCTCCAACCACCATCCCACAGGCTTCCCCCTTCACCTGGACCCTCAACCCAAATGACTAGTGTTCACTAATAGTGAGTTGTTTCATCCCCCTTCACTGGCTCTCTCCTCACTGTGCAGTCACCTGTACCCCTGGGAATATTGCCTGTTTCCCTGCACATTCCTCTTTTAGTACCATCACTTATTCTGCTCAACTTGATTCACTCCATATCTATCCACATTGTGTCTCTGTCCTAGGGTGGATTCCATGAAGTTGGTTTCTCCTTGCCCATCTATGATGCCTTTTGTGTTTAAAAATGGCCACACTTCATTAATCCCTGACTTCTTCTCTCTCCCCAGGCACTGTCTTAATTCTGACTCTCTTTCAAATTGGTGCTCAATCTAATTCTTTATCCTCTCATTTGATACTCAGAGTTGCAGAATCATCATCTGTATTTGTTTCACTCAGTTTTTCCAGTCTCTGTTGTAGAAGATTGGACAGAGTGTGTCACCAGGACACCATCTTGTTTCCCCCCCTCAAACTCAAACTTCTTAATGCGCTGCATAAGATCTGACCCTCCAAGGTCTGACCCTCACATCTAGTCTCTGGCCTCTTCTCTCAGAACTCACTGCTGGTACCCTGTGCTTGGACTACAATGAGCTATTTACACTTCTGTGAACATGCTTTATTCTTTCCCAACTCTTTGTCTTTGCCCCTGCTGGTGCAATTCTCATGCCTAGAACATCCTTCCTATCATCTCTGCCTCAGTAACTCCATTCATCTTTAAACAAACAAACAAACAAAAAGGATGGGTTTATTTAGATGTACTTAACATACCATACAAGTCACTCATTTAAAGTATACAACTCAATGTGTTTTAGTACAATCGCAGAGTTGTGCAACAATCACCACTACTTAATTCTAGAACATTTTTTGTCCCCTCTAAAAGGATCTTCCATTAGCAGACAGTCTCCATTTCCCCTCAGTCCAACCCATGGCAACCACTGATCTACTTTCTCTGTATATAGATTTTTTCGGTTCCCAATACATCTTTCAAGAATTTTTTCAGGTGTCGCCTCCCTTGTTCTCCTCCCCAGTTCCTTGGTTTTGAAGCATCTTTCCTGGGCTCCTATTACACCTTATGCAAGACTCTTTCATAGTACTTTATTCTTTCCTGCCTCCCCTCATGCAGTGAGTTACTCATCTCAGAAATCCAGAGTCTAATACATTTCCTGGCTCATATAAAATGCTCCTTAACTACTAGCTAAATAAATGAATGACTTCTAGGAAGTCCTCACTGGAAGGAAGGCCCCTCAATGCCTGAGCATAAAACCAGTGAAAATACACAGGCAGAGCCAGACAGTGGACACCTAAGAACCCACTTTTCAGCTCAGCAGCCACCATACTAGTGGTGCCTCTTCCCTTTCTGCGGTTGATGGTGTGGGTTCCAGAACCTGGAGCACTATTACTCTAAGTGGTACAGAGGACATATATCTTCAGGAAATAGTCATTATACAGCAGTTTATGATTCATCTATGAGACAAACAGTGATACTCTCAGGCCATCTTTCTGCCTTACTTTTCTCCTCTAACTTTTAAATTTTTCTATTTATTTCTTCTCCTCTCCTCTCCGCCTCCTACCATCCTTGGGATATTTTCCTTTTTTAAATGCACATTTCTTTTTAACAATGCTAGTTCCTTAGACTATTTTTTAAAAATTACTTTGGCATGAGATGTCTGAACATAAATTCACTTTTACAGCGGCTTAATTGTTCTATTTCTATGCACCACATTTCTTTTGCATGGTTGTATATTAAAAAGTCCATTAGCCAGGGAATACAGAACAATTTGAAAGCACAATGGGATATGAAGATGTTAAATACTAAATAGTCTCCACAATCTCATGTGTCATCTCATTCTCAGCATTTTACTGACTAGAGACAAATGACAAGTACCCTGACTCTGGCCACAATCACCTGCCCTTCTCTGTCTCTACTTAACTTCCTCATTCTTCTCTTCTTCTAATCTCTTACCCTGCCTTCCTTGTCTCCTCTGCCCTCCATTCCTGATCTTTTTCTTTCTTTTTTGACTCTCATCTCTGCATTTTGCTGTTTGAACTTTGTGTCTCACTTTGTTTTTCTTTGACTTTCTCTTTCTTTCTTTCTTTTTTTTTTTTTTTTTAACTGACTGGCCCTTTTTCTCTTTCTTTCTTTCTTTCTGTTCTTTTCACCCAAGAGTAGGGAAAGAGAGTGTTTGGAAAACATAAGCAAGAAACTAGAAAGAGGGGAGAGATTGACAGTGGGCTGTCCCTTACCTGCCACATTACCCTCCACCAAAGGGCATGTCTTCCCCCTTAAGGAAAGGTACATAATGAATGTGTGCCTCATTTTTATCATCTGTAAAAGTGAAGAGAAATAAGACATTGCCAGAATACTTCCAAGAGAGTTGTTAGGGTCAATCATAGGAATGAATATGAAAAAACTTTGAAAAGAAGCAGACCCCTGAGATTGGGAAGCACTCAGAGAAAGGGTGGGAGGACTACTACCTTGCACTGCATCAGGATTTAATTAACTGAGGATTGTAGTTCTTACCCCTCTGAAGAATGTGTTTTTCACCTTCTACTCATCAAATTACTGAGATTGTCTGTGTACTTTGAATGTACTTACTGTCTTTGGAGGGGAAGGATTACTTGTTCCTTTGTATGGTGTTGACTTTTATCCCTTCCTTTTCTCTTGCTTTGGACTAGCAAATGGAACCTCCAGCAGCCAGCTCTCTACCCCCAAGTCTAAGCAGTCTCCCATCTCTACGCCCACCAGTCCTGGCAGCCTCCGGAAGCACAAGGTATTATGTCTCTTATACCTTACTAAACCCCTTTGCACTCAGGGCTCCAGTGTCCTTCTTGGAAGTTCCTTCAATAGCTAGGTGAGGGTTTTCTCTTCCATTCCATTTTATCAGAACATCCCAGGGCAGATTACCCAATAAGCAAGGTAGGCATGAGCATACTTGTGCTTACTTAAAAGTAATCTGTAGTGAACAATTTCACATGGGTTTCACCACATCTGTGGATAGAGATTAATAAGCACAAGTAAGTCTGTGCTTATCTTGATTAGTGGGTACTCCATCCCCATCAGGGATTGTAAATTTGAAAAGAGGCTTTGATTTTGTAGGAAGGTGCTATGGGGTTGGAAGAGAGACAGATGCCAGCCATACCTGGAAGCTCAATCTTTGATGTAGTGAAAAAAATATGAAGTTATTCACAACAGATAAGTAAGTTAGCACAAGTAAGCCAGTGCTTACCTTGCTTGTTGGTAACTGACACTGAGGACATTGAGGCCAGAAACTCGTTCCTCTGGCTCCATTAGCTTGAAGCCCTGGAAATACCAGCAGAAACTAAGTCACTTTTATTTATTTTTCTGAACTCTGATACATTTACCTCCAGTTACACTTAGCCAAAAGAAAAATGTTCCAAGATTTCAAATACCCATATTGAGCCAAGTCACCACCAAACAGTGAGTTGGGGCTTGTGTTTAGAACTTACCTCTCAATTCAGAGACATAACCATGGAGATGGTAAGGGCAACTTATGTCCCCAAACACCAGTCAATGGAAGTAACATAAAGATACTAGTTGCTGTTGAGTTGATTCCAACTACGGTGACCCCATGTAGATAAGAATACAACTGTATTTCATAGAGTTTTCAATGGCTAACTTTTGAGAAGTAGATTGCAAGTCCTTCATTCTGAGGCACTTTGGGGTGGACTTGAACTGTCAACCTTTCAATTAGCAGTCCAGAACATTAACCATTTGCACCACCCGGGGGCTCCAACATGGTAGCAGACAAATTTACAATTGAGTTATTCTCTTTAGATTTGCCAGACATCAATGAATGAACAGACCCTAGTTTCACTATGAATTCTTCATTACCAAGAAGATTCTGGTATAATGTAGGAAGATAGGACACATGCACACTGCACTGGCTTTGGCCACCATTTACATTCTGTTTTGGTTACCTCATACTGTTCTAACAGAAAATATACCACAAATGGGTTGGCTTGAACAAACAGTTTATTCTCTTACAGTTTTGTAGGCTAGAAGCCTGAGTTCAAAGTGCCAGGTTCTAGGGGCTGGGTGAAAGCCCCTCAACCTTGGGCTTCAGCTCGGCCTCCTGCTCCTGGCCCACTGAAGCTGGAGGCTTTTCTTCACTCAGGCAGCTGCTGGCTGCTGAGGCTGACAAACCTAAGGTCGACAAGTAAAAATGCACAGTCTCGATATTACCAAACAACATGGCAGACCACTAATTCAAGTCTAGAAAAGGTCTCGAGATCAGCAGGGCATGGCAGGCTGCTGAACAATGACTTGGCTACTTGCAGGGTTCAAGTGTGCCAAAAAGCTGGAGACCTTCCTCAAAGCAGCTTCTTATATACGGGAAGAGACCACATCCCTAAAGCAGCTACTCAGCTGCTCCATTAGATTCTGCCATGGAGTTAATTACCAATCTCACCATGGGAAATAACTACATCCAGCTGCCCAGCCACTCAACCAGGCCCAGCCAAGTTGACACACACCCTTAACTACCACACCATCCCAAATAAATATGCAATACAAATAAGCAAATTTATAAATTCCCTAGGAGCTCTGGTGGCGTAGTGCCTAAGACACTTGACTGCTAACCAGAAAGCTGGTGGTTCAAACCCACCAGCCACTCCTCGGAAAGAAGATGGGGCAATCTACTTCCATAGTGATACTGCCTCAGAAACCCAAGGAGGGGTCTTTATGAGTTGGGTCCAACTTGACGGCAAACAACAGCAACAATAAATTCCCTGGCCCCACTTTCCAAACATATTTCCCATTCAGAAACCTCTCCTGTATAGAAAATCTGTAGTAGTAACTGCCTTGAGCCTCTGATCTTGGAGAAGATGTAGATGATTTTCTTCTCTGGTAACTATACTCTGGAATGCCTTACTCTAGAATTTTTTTGTCTTCATCTTGCTCACAAAACTTTCTGTGAGATGGAAAAAGTTAAAACTACCAACATGACCAACTCCACCATGGATCATAGATGGTCAGAGCTAGAAGTGATATTAGATGGAAATAAATGAGTTTTGTTTGACTTTCTTAATAATATTGTGGGTTTGACATTTTTTATACATATAATTTTATTTATTTAGTTGTTGAGAATAAACACAACAAAACACACACCAATTCAACAGATTCTGTATGTACCATTTAGTGACATTGATTAAATTCTTCAAGTTGTGAACCATTCTCACCCTCCTTTTCTGAGTTGTTCCTCCCTCATTAACATTAACTCACTGCCTCCTAAGGTTCCTGTCTAGTATCTCAAGTTGCTGTTGTCAATTTGATCCCATGAAGATAGTTCTTAAAAGAGCATAATGTTCAAGGCAGACTTATTTTTACTAGTTAAGCTAAACTATTGTTCAGTGTTATGATGACTTCAGGAAATATTTTTGGTTTAAGGTTTAAAGATTATATCAGGGCAATAGTTTCAGGGGTTCATCTGCCTTCCACAGCTCCAGAGAGTCTAGAGTTCATGAGAATTTGAAATTCTGTTCTGCAATTTTTCCCTTTTGATCAGGATTCTTCTATGTAATCTTTGATCAAAATGTTCAGTGATGATAGCTGGGCACCATTCAGTTCTAGTCTCATGGCAGTTATTCATGGAGGTAATTAGCCACACATTCCACATCCTATTCTTCTTTCCTGACTCTTTCTTCCACTGTTGTTCCAGTTAAATAGAGACTAATTGTGCCTTGGATGGCCACTTGCTAGCTTTTAAGAACTCATGCATTGAACTAAGAGATAGAACAGAGGCACTACACATGTTATTGGGAAAATTAACTAGGATATCCAATGAAACCATGACCCTAAACCTCCAAACCAAGAAACCAAATTCCATGAAGTTGTAGGTTATACATAAGCAGCTTCAGCAGCTACTCTTTTTTTTTTTGTCGTTGTTGTAAATTATCATACAGCTTCTGCCAATTCAGCTTTTTACAGATACACAACTCACTGACAGCAATTACAATAATCAACTCTGCAATCCTATCATTAATCAACACAATACTTCCATTACCATTAACTCCCCCTTTTCCCCTTCTGCCCATCGCTGGTAACCACTAATAAACTTCATTTTTATGCTTTTGCCTTTTCTTGTCATTATACTAAGTGAGAGGGGAGGGAGAATAACCTAAACTCACTGCCGTCAAGTTGATTCAACTCATAGCGACCCCTCCTTAGTTTTCCGATGCAGTATCTCTACAGAAGTAGATTGCCCAATCTTTCTTCCGAGGAGTGGCTGGTGGGTTTGACCACCTGGTTAGCAGTCAAATGCCTTAGGCACTATGCCACCAGAGCGTAAAGTCATACAATATTTGTCCTTTTATGATTGATTTATTTCACTCAGCATAATGTCTTCCAGCTCCATCCATATTGGAGCATGTATCAAGACATCATTTCTCCTACTGGATGAGTAATATTCCATTGTATGTATCTACCACATTTTATTTATCCATTCATATGTTGATGGGCATTTAGTTTTTTTCCATCTTTTGGCTATTGTGAATAGTGCCGTAACAAACATTTGCACACAAGTCTCTGTTTGAGTCTCTGCTATCTTTTGGATGTATACCTAGGAGTGGAATTTCTAGGTTATGTGGTAGATTTATTTTTAGTTTTTTTGAGGTAGCACTACACTGTTCTCCACAACAGCTATACAATTTTGTATTACTGACAATAATGGGTAAGGGTACCGATTTTCCCACATCTTCACCAACATTTGTTATTATAATTTTTTTTCCCAATCTTAGTCATCCTTGTTGGAATGAAATGATATCTTGTGGTTTTGATTTGCATCTCTCTGAAGGCTACTGACATTGAACATCTTTTCATGTGTTTGGTAGCCTCTTTGGTGAAATGTCTATTCAAGTCCTTAGTTCATTTTATGTTTAGGTTATTTATCTTTTTGTTGTT